GGGGTGAGCGGAGGTGAAGAGGAACAAGACCAAGGAGCCCGCAAGGGAGAGCCAGCGCATCCGGACAAGGCCAGCCCAGTTCCAGGTGACAAGTACTCAGAGCCGCACTCAGAGCCGGAGGGAAACGCCAAGCCAGTCGTTTTCCTAGTGATGCTTTTCTCAGGAAGAAAAGGGCCTGATAAACCGAAGGGGGGCACTGAGGATGAAGTGGCCACGGACATCCGTGTCACATGCCTCTAAACACCACCTGTGGGTCGGGCTCACCGTCTCCTCCAGCAGTTCGACGTTTTGGTCAACACCGGAACACCTGTGTCCCAAGGACTGGTCCAGTTCTGAAACTCTGCTCGCTACTTCACCTGAGTTCGCTAAGTGATCCACAGAACCCTGCAAGGTAGGGGTGCTGCCTCCACTGTTCAGGCCAGAAAGCCGGGCTCCAGCAGTCGTGGTTTCCTGAGCACCTACTCCGGGCCAGGGCTCCCGACCCGAGTCCTGTAAGGGCAGGGGTGCGCCCCCGGCTAAGTTCCCCCGCAGACCCAACCTGGTGGGTGAGGTCACTCGCTGCATCCGCGCGGGGGCCACTTCCCAGCAGGTCTTCACTGCCTTCCAGTTGTTTTCTCTGTACTTCTCTGTAGGGACGCGAAGCTTTAAGGTAAAATTCTGACTTAACTGTGTTTTGTAACCCCTTATGCCAGCCAACGAGTTACCAGTGGATTCTGCGGGCTGACTGTATGTCAGCCACAGAGTTAACAGTGGATACCTATGGGCTGACTGTATGCCGGCCCACGGAGTTACCAGTGGATACTGCGGGCTGACTGTATGCCGGCCCACGGAGTTATCAGTGGATACTGCGGGCTGACTGTCTGCCGGCCCACGGAGTTACCAGTGGATACTGCGGGCTGACTGTATGCTGGCCCACGGAGTTACCAGTGGATACTGCGGGCTGACTGTATGCCGGCCCACGGAGTTATCAGTGGATACTGCGGGCTGACTGTATGCCGACCCACGGAGTTATCAGTGGATACTGCGGGCTGACTGTATGCCGGTCCACGGAGTTATCAGTGGATACTGTGGGCTGACTGTATGCCGGTCCACGGAGTTATCAGTGGATACTGCGGGCTGACTGTATGCCGGCCCACGGAGTTATCAGTGGATACTGCGGGCTGACTGTATGCCGGTCCACGGAGTTATCAGTGGATACTGCGGGCTGACTGTATGCCAACCCACGGAGTTATCAGTGGATACTGCGGGCTGACTGTATGCCAACCCACGGAGTTATCAGTGGATACTGCGGGCTGACTGTATGCCAACCCACGGAGTTATCAGTGGATACTGCGGGCTGACTGTATGCCGGCCCACGGAGTTATCAGTGGATACTGCGGGCTGACTGTATGCCGGCCCACGGAGTTACCAGTGGATACTGCGGGCTGACTGTATGCCGACCCACGGAGTTACCAGTGGATACTGCGGGCTGACTGTATGCCAGCCCACGGAGTTACCAGTGGATACTGCGGGCTGACTGTATGCCGGCCCACGGAGTTATCAGTGGATACTGCGGGCTGACTGTATGCCGGCCCACGAGTTACCAGTGGATACTGTGGGCTGACTGTATGCCGGTCCACGGAGTTATCAGTGGATACTGTGGGCTGACTGTATGCCGGCCCACGAGTTACCAGTGGATACTGCGGGCTGACTGTATGCCGGCCCACGGAGTTATCAGTGGATACTGTGGGTTGACTGTATGCCGGCCCATGAGTTACCAGTGGATACTGCGGGCTGACTGTATGCCGGCCCACGGAGTTATCAGTGGATACTGTGGGCTGACTGTATGCCGGTCCACGGAGTTATCAGTGGATACTGTGGGCTGGCTGTATGCCGGTCCATGGAGTTATCAGTGGATACTGTGGGCTGACTGTATGCCGGTCCACGGAGTTATCAGTGGATACTGTGGGCTGACTGTATGCCGGTCCACGGAGTTATCAGTGGATACTGTGGGCTGACTGTATGCCGGTCCACGGAGTTATCAGTGGATACTGTGGGCTGGCTGTATGCCGGTCCATGGAGTTATCAGTGGATACTGTGGGCTGACTGTATGCCGGTCCACGGAGTTACCAGTGGATACTGTGGGCTGACTGTATGCCGGCCCACGGAGTTATCAGTGGATACCTATGGGCTGACTGTATGCCGGCCCACGGAGTTATCAGTGGATACCTACGGGCTGACTTTACGCGGGACCCACGGAGGTACCAGTGGATACCTACGGGCTGACTTTACGCGGGACCCACGGGGGTACCAGTGGATACACAGGGGCTGACCAAAGAACTCAGACTGCAGCTGAACATTTGCATGAGGAATCGGCAATGCTGTCCTTCAACCGCGTGCAGATACTCATTCCTGTGCTCCGAGTGTGCCCAGCCCTCGGGCGTAGAGGTGAGCAGGGCACTCCCCCCGCCTCCGTCGAGCTTAGTCTGATGGGAGAAGAAATGCACCATTAACTGCCTCGCGGTGAGTGCTGGACCCGGCGCAGAGCTCGTGGGGTGACCGGAAAGTCAAGACCTGAGATCTGTGGGCAGTGGGGCAGTGAGGGGCAGCCCAGCTGGAGAGATGCGAGGTCAGCCGCCTGGCTGCGGCGGAAGCTGCGACCCCGCTGCCCAGGGCCGGTCCGACTGAGAAGCGGTGGGAGTTGTGAAGCGTGGGGGCTGCCGGGTCCCTGCCGGGCGGAGCTGCGCAAACGCGGAGGGACGGTGGCGCGCAGTTCGGGGAGCATGTCATCCTTGAGACCCCAGGCGCTTCTCCTCCCTACAGGACGGCCGCAGCTGCACATCCACCAAGAAATTCCCCATTCGAGTTTAAGTACAGTCCAAGTTTGGGGCTTTTGCAACTGCAGCCAAGAGCCCTCGCGTCACTGAATACAAGCACCGGCTGCCACGAAGCACTCAGCTTCCCTCGCCTGAACACCGCTGTGAAAACCGCCTTCCGGCCGCCACTGCCGCCTGGCTTCCCAGGGCAAGGTTCTGGATACCAGAGATCCAACTCCGGCGGGGACAGTGAGGGCGCGTGCCCCACAGGGAAGGGCCGGTCCTCCCGGAGTAGAGCGCCTGGGTGCGGAGGGCTGGGTGTGTCTCATTCTGGAGGGAGAGGCCTCAGGCTGGAAGCTGGACCCCTGGAGAGGTTCCCATCCTGCTTAGAAGTACAAAGTCCTGGGAAATCGAAAGGAATACACCTGGGGTTCTCGTGAACAGTTTTCTCAGACGATCCAAAAGTGGTCCTAACTTTTGTTAAAGCTGACGTAGCAGCGAATTAATAAAAAGTGATATGAATTTACCACTAAAAGGGTCTTCCCCTTCCCTTAAAAACATTTCCTAGGCCCAGGCCGGTGGCTCAGTTGGCTGGAGCATCGTCCTGTACAGCAAAAGGCTGTGTTTGACTCCCGGTCAGGGCACACACCTGGGCTGCAGGTCCAATCTCCAGCTGGGGTGCACATGGGAGGCAATTGATTGTGTTTCTCTTTCACATCAATTTCTCTCTCTCTCTCTCTCTCTCTCTCTCTCTCTCTCTCTCTCTCTCAGATCAATACAAACACATCCTTGGTTGGGAAGGAACCAGTCTGGCTGATGTTCATCACGGTGTACGTGTTGGATGACTACAGCCGAAACAGCAGGCACTGCCATAGCAGCCGCTCCCCAGGCCTGGCTCACAGCAGGTCCATCACTGCTCAGGGACGGGCGGCCTGCCCATCAGAAGACAACGGCCACTGGAAAGAGGTGCCTCCCAGTGCGGGGCTCCGCAGGCAGAGGGAGCCAAGCCTTCCTGGGGTCTCCGAGGGATGGACTGTAGGCCGGGCAAACAGGCTGAGGATGGGCTCGTGTGAATGTCGGTGGGCTGGTTCGGGCCTAGAGGTGATTAGAGCAGACAATGGCAGCCCGGAGGTGAAAGCCTCCTGAGGGGTGGTGGGGCGTGGACACCGCACGCCGGCGGCATGTCCAGGGGTCCACGAACCCTGGGAGGGGCACACGCTCCCGGGCCAGCAAGGCCCCAGATGTCCAAGCATCAGAAACACATGGCTAACACAAGCCTTCACTCCGCAAGTCATGACCTTTGTCCTCTAATTCTATTGACTTACTTCTACCTATGGTCTCTTTTTGCTACATTATTATTTAGTTTAAAAAGCTAATGGCCTGTGTTGAAGGAAAAGAAGTACAGTGATATGACTTGAATTCTTTTAAAAATCTTACATTTTGCACCTCAGTAGTGATTATATTTCCTGTGAAATGCCAGAGAAAAGTCTTTGATAAGATTCTGCTCAGTGTTGAAGTACAGTTTTTATAGCATGGTGTTCAAAGATTACTTTCAATATTTAGTAATGTGTTTGTTGTGTTTTAACCACAACAAACTGCCTGTCAATTCTGTGGAACATGTCACAGCCTTTCTATCAGCGCGCTTGACGCCAGCGTGGTAAAGGACACTCCGGGACCCTCCCGTCACAGCCGAGTTGGTTCCTCACTGGTTGCCACCTGCTGTGGTGGACGACCCTGTGAGAAGCGAGCAGTGTCCGTGGCCTCCTGAGTCGAGTCCAGCCCACACCTTTTAACAGATGTGGGCACATGTGGTCTACAAATCAAATTACTCCGACATTCAATGTCATCCTGTTCTTTCTACAGTCGAGTCGATGAACTTTGTGCTACGTGAGAGGAAAACACATGGAACGACTGTCATTCATTTTCAAGATCACCCGTTTTCGTGGTCACCTCTGTCCCTTCCCTTTCAGACCCGTGGATCACTGTCCACTCGTTTAGCCAACCACAGAGGTATGAAGAGTTTCTGATGAGAATCAAAACCAACATTCACAGAGCACCTCCTATGGGCCACATCACTCAGGTGGGTTTTAGCGAACCCCTCACCCCAGAGGGGCACTGCCAGCCTCCCCACTTCCCACGGGCAGTCAAGGTGTATGGACAGCCTGCCCAAGGTCACACACGAACTCCAGAGGCTGTGGTCTTCAGGATGGTCTTTTATTTACTTTTATCACACGACAGCTCATAATAAAACCCCACGTGCCACATTTGGAAGGTATCACAAAGGGGACACTCACGTCCCACCTGCCAGCTTAAGACAGAGACCACTACCGATGCCTGTGACGCCCGCGCCCACGGTGCAGGCCCTCCCGCCAGAGCCTGCCACGCCCGCTCCGCTTCACCTGCTGGACTGTGCCGCACAAAGGCCAGACTTATTTCCTTAAAGAAAAGCAAAAAAACCTCCTTAGGCTAGTGGTTTTTAACATCACAGGGATGGACCCGTGTGGGCATCTGTGAGAGCAATGACGACAAAGCCCAGAACAATCACACATGGAAAACTCTGGGAGCATTTGACGTTCCCAGCTTTCCCGGAGCTACGAGTGACCGCACGACCACATTCACACCAGGGCACTGGAGGACCTGCTCCGACAGCAGACGAGGCTGCGGCCAGGGCACATGGTGACAGGCACAGGACCCCTGCGGCCACCTTACCCAGCACCATCTCCTCCTGGCACTCGGCCCACCACTGTCCTCACGACTCCGTCTTGGTGGCATGGCTCGCTGTCTCTTTTGTCCAGACTTACTGAAGCATAATCAACAAATAAAATGATAATCTATTGAGAGTGTCCAACACAACTTGACACATGTATGAACACGCAGTTTCCGTGTGTGTGTGTGAAAACACTTGAAGATGTGCCCTCTTAACGAATTCCAATGATCCATATAGTACCATCACCCACAGTCACCACACTGCATGTTACTCTCAGAATCAACCCACCTTATAACTGAAAGTTTGTACCCAACTTGGAGGGTATCATGCCAAGTGACATAAGCCAGACAAAGACACAAACTGCATGGTTGCAATTATATGTAGAAAGTAAAAAAAAAAAAGTCAGAAACAGAGGATGGTTGGTGCCAGAGCTGAAGGCTGAGGACCGGTTGTCTTAACCAGCTACCTGCAGCTCAGCCCCAGCGCCCTGAGCTCCGGACGGAGGCCCTCACCATCCCTCTGCTTCTGCACAAGCTCCTGTCGTGTGAACACTGGCAACAATGCCATGTGGGCGAACAACCGAACCGGGAGAGCTGAGTTCGAGTCTAGCTCTACCACAAACGGGCAATGTGGCTTAAACTCAATGTCGGAGCGGGCATTCTTGTCTACGAAATAAGGTTATTGACTGGGCTTTGCTCAGAGTTCCCTTCAGGTCTAGCACGCCATAATTCCATGCATTTATGCTTCTAAAGCCATCTTCTGAAAAAGTTTATTTTTAAAAAGCAGCAGGCTGAAAAATTTTTAAAAATGATTTTTAAAAGGACACAGTGTGTACAGTGGCCCTGACACTGGCCAGGACGTGTATGCTGTGTGCCCACGCGGGTGCGGCGCGTGTCCTCTTCAGCCGGGCCGCGCTCAGCGCTTCTTCCAGGTGAACTTCCTGCGCGCTCCCTCCTGGCCCGGCTTCTTCCGTTCTCTGACGCGCGGGTCCGTGGTGAGCAGTCCGGCTGCAGCGGAGGAAGACAGGCGGTTACCAACCTGGGCCATGCCCGCCGCCCGCCCGCCAAGCAGAGAGCCAGGGACGCACAAGCCCTGCCAGCAGAGCAACCAGCAGAGAGCCCGCAGCCTGCGATGCCCGGCCCCCTGGCATACAGCTGACAGCAGTGCGCTTCCTTTCCTTCAGGATATTTTCCCATTTCAGGGACAAATGCCAGCTACATTACCGGTGTGCTTCCCTTATCCCGTGAGGACGGATTCCTTGTGATTGCAGACTGGTTTAACTCACATAAAGCTGCCCTCGTGTGGCAGTCACACTCCCTGCGATGGACCATCTGCACATGCGTCACAGACATGGGAGCTTTAATGGGACAAGAGGTGGAGAAGGAACCCTGGACGGTGAAGCATGAGCGGCATCCGACACCATATAGGAACAGTGTGCATGAACACACACCCAGAATATAGGAACAGTGTGCATGAACACACACCCAGAATATAGTATCAGTGTGCATGAACACACACCCAGAATATAGGAACAGTGTGCCATGAACACACACCCAGAATATAGGAACAGTGTGCATGAACACACACCCCAGAATATAGGAACAGTGTGCATGAACACACACCCAGAATATAGTTCAGTGTGCATGAACACACACCCAGAATATAGGAACAGTGTGCATGAACACACACCCAGAATATAGGTTCAGTGTGCATGAACACACACCCAGAATATAGGAACAGTGTGCATGAACACACACCCAGAATATAGGAACAGTGTGCATGAACACACACCAGAATATAGGAACAGTGTGCATGAACACACACCAGAATATAGGTCAGTGTGCATGAACACACACCCAGAATATAGGTTCAGTGTGCATGAACACACACCCAGAATATAGGAACAGTGTGCATGAACACACACCCAGAATATAGGTTCAGTGTGCATGAACACACACCCAGAATATAGGAACAGTGTGCATGAACACACACCAGAATATAGGAACAGTGTGCATGAACACACACCCAGAATATAGGAACAGTGTGCATGAACACACACCCAGAATATAGGAACAGTGTGCATGAACACACACCCAGAATATAGGAACAGTGTGCATGAACACACACCCAGAATATAGGTTCAGTGTGCATGAACACACACCCAGAATATAGGAACAGTGTGCATGAACACACACCCAGAATATAGGTTCAGTGTGCATGAACACACACCCAGAATATAGGAACAGTGTGCATGCACACACACCCAGAATATAGGAACAGTGTGCATGAACACACACCCAGAATATAGGAACAGTGTGCATGAACACACACCCAGAATATAGGTTCAGTGTGCATGAACACACACCCAGAATATAGGAACAGTGTGCATGAACACACACCCAGAATATAGGAACAGTGTGCATGAACACACACCCAGAATATAGGAACAGTGTGCATGAACACACACCCAGAATATAGGAACAGTGTGCATGAACACACACCCAGAATATAGAAACAGTGTGCATGAACACACACCCAGAATATAGGTTCAGTGTGCATGAACACACACCCAGAATATAGGAACAGTGTGCATGAACACACACCCAGAATATAGGTTCAGTGTGCATGAACACACACCCAGAATATAGGAACAGTGTGCATGCACACACACCCAGAATATAGGAACAGTGTGCATGAACACACACCCAGAATATAGGAACAGTGTGCATGAACACACACCCAGAATATAGGAACAGTGTGCATGCACACACACCCAGAATATAGGAACAGTGTGCATGCACACACACCCAGAATATAGGAACAGTGTGCATGCACACATACCCAGAATATAGGAACAGTGTGCATGAACACACACCTAGAATATAGGAACAGTGTGCATGAACACACACTTAGAATAGGACATACTGAGCATGTCTGAGAAAAAATCCTAGTATTCTAAGCTGTATGATAATAATATCCCTGGTATTTTGTCTCAGACAGAATCTAAAAAGTAAGGTTTAGGGTTGTATTCTCATCATAGGCAGTTTATTCTAGAAAAATGGCCAGTTTACACTAGAACCTTCCACTCTCCTAACCCACCACCAGGAGCAATTGCAATGTCTCGGCAGTTTAGAAGCTACTATTAGTACATGGCCCAAGGAAGCCCAGTTGCAGATGGACTCGTCGTCTAGTCTATTAGTAAGACCTCAGATTTCAAAACCACCAGTGATGAGAAAGCACTTAAACTGCTCTCACACATACGTAAATAGACCAGTTTCTCACTGCATTGTTTTTTTCTCACTCTGCCAACACCAGCGCGTTTTTTCATTGTGTACAAGGCTTATGTATTTCATGAGGGGTCTTGGAATGGCCATACCGCAAAGGGAAACTTCAAGTGCCTGTTATATACCCACAGCTTTTCAATTCACTTGTGTTTAAATGGCATGGAATAAAACAACAGTTTGAACCAAATGCAGACAAGGCCTGTCTACTTTAAATTATAATAATGCTTTATCACTTTTATTATGCACAGGAACTCAAACTAGTAGAATTGTTAAGATCCTATCAAACTATTTTAATGAGGAGATATGAACCCCACAAAATGGCGAATTGTATATAAGCAAATGGATCTGTGAGAGGCCCCAACAGTGACCCAGCCCCAGCCCTAGGCGGCACTTGTCTGGCACAGCAGCGGGAGTGGCGGGGAGGCAGCGGCGGAGGAGCTGCGCCCAGCAAGGCCCAGGCCCAGGCCCAGGCCCCGCAGCGCCCACAGCACCGCCCTCCCGCCAGGGGCGCCCAGCACACGGACCGCCCGCACCCACTGGAAGTGCTGCGGCAGGCGGTCCCGAGCGGGCAGTCCACCGCACCTTCATGCTCACGCCCGTACCCAGGTGAGGCCGTGGGTCACACGAAGTGAGACAATATAAAATCCCAACGAACTTCACAATGAAAAAATGGAAATCTCCAATAATCTTGGAAAAAATACCTTAAGGGTGTTGTCACCATTAAGTCAAATAATATTACAACGTTCCACGATAAAACAAACCGCCCATCCATCTGTAAAGTGGTCAAGCCTGATGATCAGAATGAATCTCCCTGACGCCGGCAGTGCCGCCCTCCCCTTTTCTAATTCAAGTTCACTTCGTAGAGCTCAAACTGAAAACAACGTTATGGTTCTGGAGCATGAAAAGAGAAGCCAGCAGATTGCAATACTGCATTTCGAACTGAGCGTTTTCTCACTGATTTCAGATAAGTAGCGCAAGAATAAAACACACACTTCCAGACAGTAGGGACGGCAGGCCCCTCTCACTGCAACACATACCTTGTCTCATCCACTCGACCTCCTCCTCGGTGACGAAGCTGCACAACGCCCTGGCCACTGCCAAGCGGATGGCTCCAGCCTGCGCCGACCTCCCGCCCCCTGAGACGGTGCAGGTCACATCGTGCTGTCCAAGCCGGTCCAGGAAGTGAAAAGGGAACATCAACTGCTCTCTGAAGGACATCAGCAGAAATGTGGTTAAGTTCACTGTGACACACGATTCTGGGACACTTCACATTCTGGCCATTTATGAAGCCACGCTGTGCACACAGCATTCAACTTCTCGAATCCACCATTATAGTTTTCATACTTTTTAAAAAGTTAAAAAAAAAAAATCTGTTTTTATTGATTTCAAAGAGGAAGGGAGGGGGAAAGAGAGAGAACCATTGATGGGCTGCCTGCCTCCTGCATGGTCCTTATCAGAGATTAAGCCCGCAACCTGGGCACATGCCCTGAGCAGGAATCAAACCAGTGACCTCCTGTTGCACGGGACTATGCTCAACCCAACTGAGCCACATGGCTCGGCCATTTTTCATACTTTCTGATCAATCTATTATGTGAAGAAACACTGATATCCCTTTCTTCAATAAAATATTTTTATTGATTTTTTTGAGAGAGGAAGGGAAGAGAGAAAGAGAAACATTGATGTGAGAGCAGAACATTGATCAGCTGTCTCCTGCATGCCCCCACCAGGATGGAGCCCACAGCCCAGGTGTGCTCCCTGGCCCAGAATCAAACTGGAAGCCTTTTGGTGCATGGGATGATGCCCAATCAACTGAGCCACACTGGCCAGGGCTTTTCTTTTCTTTTTTTTTTAAATCCTCACCCGAGGATATGTTTTTATTGATTTTAGAGAGAGAGGAAGGGAGAGGGAGAGAGAAAAACACTGGTGTGAGAAACAACAATTGGTTGCATCCTGTATACACCCTGACTGGGGATCAAACCCTGCAACCTGGGTATGTGCCCTGACCTGGAATTGAACCAGTGACCTTTTGGTGTATGGGACAACACTCTGAACAACAGAGCCACACCGGCCAGGGCCACCGATATTTTGAGTATTTTGCTCAGAGCAGGGTTATTTCTCTTTTTCTTGAATATAGCAATATATTATCTCATTGTTGATTACTTTGATCTTCATAAGAACTTTGTGAGGCTTGGAAATAACTTCCTAAAAAGTCTTAAAGTTGGGAAACCTGATTACTCAACTGAATCTAACTCGATAGAATCAATGATTAGATTAATGGGAATAGGCTTTCCCACACAGTCATCAAGTGCCATCTGGCCTCATTAAATAAAGTATACTATATTGCATTCGTATAAGGCAGATATAATGTGCATCCTGACATGATTAGTTCTTTTTTCTTTATTGATTTTAGAGAGAGAGAGGGGAAGGGAAAGGGAGAGGGAGAGAAATAGAAACATCAATGTGAAAGAGAACATCGACTGGCTGCCTCCTGCATGCCCCCCACTGGGGATCGAACCTGCGACCTCTTGGTGCATGGGCTGACGCTCAACCACTGAGCCACACCGACATGGTTAGTTTACTAAGTAAAACCACATTCAACCCCCACCCCCGGAAATATATATTGCTATTAATAGTTCTCTAAGCTGCAGGGTCCTGCTACCTGTCTGATTCCAGGTGACACACTACTGACCTTAGGCCTGCTTCCCTCAATAGCGAGAGCCCATGTGGCCCCAGGCAGGACCCCCAGGATCAGAGACTGGAGCACAGGCAGACACTGCACCGGACCTTCTCTCGCTCAACCAAACACTATTTTGTGAACACCACTCTCATGCTAAGTGCAATGTTCACCACCACCTTTGTCAAGTACTTTGATTTTGCTATTTTGCCTTAATACCTCTGCTGAGTTTGTATTTAGAAAAGTCTATTTATATTGCATTTTGCTTGCTTTGTCTGACACTGTAGCTTTCTCAACCTAAAATAGAGTTTACATATACAGTGAGGCTGAAAGATGGACACAGACAGAACATTCAAGTGTCACTCCTTGGCCTAATTTATCAAAACAATCTCACGCAGGAAGATGTATCAGACAGGACCTTCAAGGGCACAGTTCACTGGACTTCGTAACAATATTGTTTCAGTAGGGAGACAACATAAATCTATATTGCTTTTTTTTTTTTTATCCTCACCTGAGGATATTTTTCCATTTTTTTGTACAGATAAGAGTGGGAGGGAGAGAAAGGAAGGGAGGGAGAGAGAGAGAAACATCGACGTGAAGGGACACATCGAGTGGCTGCCACCCGCACGACCAACCAGGGCCGGGGACAAACTGCAACCGAGGTACATGCCCTTAGCGGGAACCGAACCTGGGTCTCTCCAGACCGCAGGCCGACGCTCTAATCGCTGAGCCAAACTGGCCAGGGCTATATTGCTCTTTTGAGCAAACATTTCAAAGCAACCAAATAAAAAATAGGAATGTTATAAAAATAGTAGTTATATGTAACAGGCATATTATCATAATAACTAAAGAGAATTCAGAGACCGATAACCTATCTAATTCCACCATTTCGTTTTTCCCACAAGGAAGCCGAGGCCAAGATAGAATGTGGCGTCACGTGCGCACATCTCAGGATCTTACATAGCTGTGGCGTCTTCACAGCATCGCAAACAAGACTGAACTCACAGACAATCCCTTTAAAATGTCTACTGAATTTAAAATAAGAATCAGTTTAAATCTCTGCGTGCCTAACACAGCTAAGTGAGTTCCTGGCACAGTGACGTCACCAAGGGAAACTCTGGTCACCCACTCGTCTAGGAGTTTAAAAACTTATCTGTCCGAATTCCTAAAATGTTAAGATTCCCTAATTCGTGCTTATTAAAGAATCTTAGACTAAAACTCAGAAAAAAATACTTTATAATTTACTTGAGATATATCACTAGAGTAGTCAACAAAGAACCATTAAGAGAGTAGATATTTGAGAAGGTGGTGTACACTGAGGTACAATACTAAATTTATAAACAGATTAAAAAATACCCAAAGGGTAACAGTAAAAAATAATTATCTAGATATTGATTTTAATTAATTTGACTACAAACTGGTACATACAAAAATAGTTACATGGCTTGAAAATATTTCACAATTCATATTCTCTCCTCTCAGAGATCCCAGATGAAATCCTGAGTTAAAAGAATCAAATTTATTTTGTTCCTTGTTATATAACAAAAGTTATTTTGAAAAAAAAATTTTTTCCCCTCTTATTTCTATCTTCTCTGAACACTATTCCTAGAGCACCAGTTCTATTAGCCTGCAACTTAAAACACATATAATTGCATAGTCTCCTTTATTTTTCTCTAATTGCTTAAAATGCTGACCCTATCTCCTCTGCTGCCTGGTTAGCGCTGTGTGAACAATGTATTCCTTCAGTGCAGATGATCAATAAGAGTTGCTTTATTGGTTGAATGATAGAGCAAAGGCCTTTCCAAATCAGAAGGGTTATTAATCTTTGTATTTTGTAGTACTAGGCATACAGTAATAAATGGTTGCTATGTAAGTGAATGAAAAAATTTCTGATGATGCTTGGAAGGCAGCATAGTCAACATTCCCAATGATCTGTTGCTGTTTGTGTAACAGTAGCCTAAGGAAAGGCCCCTGAAAAGATAAGTAAGCAAGTCAACTGACTTTCAGGACCATCTTAGAGATCATCAGGTTCAACTCCCTCCTACCCATTAGAAGTGACCTTTAAGCATCTTGGCTAAGATCACACAGCTAGGAAAGAACTCGAATAAAGATCACCTGACTTCTGGTTCAGCAGTCTTCCTACGAGTCAGTGTCCCCTCAGTGCCGCACCTGTAGGCTTCTGAGCTGCTCCCGAAGAGGAAAGGCAGCCCACACTATGTGGCCACCCGAGTTCCCTCCAGATACTCCATGAGGAGACGGTTCAGCCGCCCATTCCCACCAACAATGGGTTTCCCAATCAGATACAAAGCTTCTTAATGATAGAAACCAGATCTTAAATAGCTGTGGTATCTTCACAATATGGAGAACAAGACCAGACTCACAGACAATCCTTTTAAAATGTCTATTGAATTTAAAATGAAGAATACGTTCTAATAATACATTTTAATTGTGAGATCAAGCCAAAATTGAGACTTTGTGTTAAATCACCATAGTTTTATCTGAAAACAAATGAGCAGTCAAGAATGGGTCCCAAACCATTCTTCCCAGCACTCCCTAATGCTGAAGTTACGGGTCCCTGGCTTCTCCTAAGGGAAGTAAGATGTCCTCATCTGTTTCCCTGTGAGGATGATGGCAGAATTAGTTTAATTTATACTAAGTGGCGTTAGAGTGGACACAAATAAAATAAACATACATTTCCTGAAGTAGCCTCCTGACGTGTCCAGGAGGTCACACTGCACCAGCAGGGCCCCTTTCCCTTACCTCGCATTGGGAGATAAGGGTTGTACCCCGACTGACCTTAAAAGCACTACATAGTCAGGAAACGGGAGAAGAATCAGGAAAAAGGGAGCTCATCACGCAGAGCTTGTTACTTGCGGATAATGAGTCACCACAGGAAGGGCTCTGCACGGGACTCAGAGAGGGACCCGAATGAACACATGCAGAGGGTCTGACTGCAATGCCCACTGATGACTCATGTGGCTCATGTCTGTTTCCGGGGGACACAAAGTTCCAAAAATAAAACTGCCATATTCAGCACTGGGAACTAAGCAAAGTCTGATGAGCTCTCATTTTAAGGTGTAAGCAGCAGGTATCTTTGGTTGTTCAATATATACACAACCCAATTCCTCTGAATAGCAAAAAATCCCAAGTGACAAAGCAGACTTTCTCTAACATTTACTGGCTGGGGCTGGTCTGTTGTTGTTTCATGACGCCCACCCCTAAACTAGGGAAACAAGTGGAAATTTACTTTTCTCACATTTTGGAAGCGTCTGCATTTCAGAGCATAAGATATGTGTGAAACACCCAAATTCCAGTAAGATCTCATTGAAAGATGAGGAAGATTCAATTAATGAGGACTTTTTAGAAATGCTTTTTAAAAATCTGGAAAACTACATAAAAAAGAGTGATAGCTTCCCTCTAGCTAGTCTGATAAATTATATCGGTAAAGAGAAATAATCGTTGGCAAAGACAACTACAATCAGAAAATCCTAAGCCTTAATGATTGATCATGATGTATAATGAAGAATATTTTCTTTAAAAACAAAAACAAAAAGCAAAAGCAGACCCTAACCTGTCCTGTGTCACGGGGAAGTAAAGCAGGTAATCGGTTCCATTGACTTCTATTCTTCCACTTCCATGTTCATAAACGACTGCCTCTGCTTTTGCACTTTTTCTTTTACCTTTAAAAATATAAAATTTCTATTGGTAAAAATATGAAAGACCAGGACTTTGAGACAATAAAGCTACATTAAAAGTTTTTACTTCTGAATAACAATATACAGCAGTGTATACAGGAAAGTCCTTGGACTACTACAAGTCAAACAAAAATAAAGCAGGTGAACTACAGCATAATCAATGCACCAGCGCTCACTATGAGGTCATCTTGTTCTTCAATTCCATCTGAAGAACACCACAATGATTTAAAATTAATTTTCAAAATCAACAAAGTAATTCATATTTATTACTTTAAAAATATCTATTTACATAGTGTTCTTTTATATTCAATAAGAATATATCTGATCACATAATTTTTTAAACATTTGAAAAGTATGATAAAATATAATTGATAGGAATGAAAGCAATCCTCAAAAAGGTCACATTTCTCTGAAAACATTAGTTGAAATAATACTGAATTTTTAAAAGATAAATAATTTAATACATTAATTTTAAAAGTGACACCATGTTAATGTCTTTGCACACCTAACAAGGAAATGTAAGCAAGGACTAAAGCTTTCACGTTTCATAGTTTTAGCATCTGATATGCAGATTCACAGAACACTTTCATTTTATAAAAGAAACCTTTCTTATAAATGTTTTATTGTTTCCACCAGTTGAAAATGTGAAAATAAAAAGGGTTATTAATATGATTGTGTAGGAACGTGTCCACATTTTTTCTTGGGACATTATAAGGTACTCTAAAAATTCCAATAGAATCTTTAAAACGAGGAATTTAAATGTAGCAGTAGCAAAAATAAACAAACCAATGGGATGAATACCAGAGAGCAATAGCAAATAAAAATAACTATAGTTTCTGAATCGTCAGAGTTTATTTTCTCTCCACGGACTGTCATTACCTTCGCTTGTGCTGAAGGCCATTCCTTTCTCGTCATACTGCAAAGGTTCAATCAGCTGTTTCTTTGATTGAACAGTTACACTCCTGCGAAAGCGCTGCACGAATTCTTCTTCGGCAGCGCCACACTGCAATGTCAATAACCTCTCCAGCAGCCGAACAAACTGTGCATACTGCAGACAGTAAAATTCATTAGAAGATGCAAATGTAATTGCATTTGCTAAATTTTTCTATTTTTACAAATGCAATTCTTCCGATGTTGCTTTCGTGACGAATTCCGACAGCTGACACTTGTGCTCCCTCACGCCTTGACGCAGCGTGCAAACACAGCACTTGCCTGTGGATCTTCAGGGATCAATCTTTTCTTTCCCAAAACAAAAAGATTTGTCACTCAAAGAAGTCAATCTCTCCATATTTTCATGACATGAAACTGAGATTTGAATTCATTTTCAAAAAAATATTTATATGATCTTCAAGGGTAATTTCTACTGTTATTAGAACCATATTTAGAGGTGCTTCATAAATAATTTCAAGTAAGTTATGTGTAGTAAAATGGGAAGAGTTTGATTTTGAGATAATGTACCTCTTAAATTATATTTCATAATACACTTGGCTGTTCAAGCTGTGTTACTTTAATGTTTATGATTTCCTTTAAAACTGAACAATCAAGCTATTTAAAAATTCAAGAGATACTTGACTTAAAGGGCAACCTCTTGAAATAAATTATCCTTGCTACTCTGTGCATTTTTTTTAATAGTTCTTGAACATGTGATTAGAAAGTAAACAACTTGGTATTAACCCCTTAAAATTAGAAACCAGAATAATCATTCTAAAGTGTTTATGCAGAAGGAAACAACTAATACTTGAGATGCTCAGTTATGTGAAGTATGCAACCTAATTCTGATAACCTTATTTATGTTTTACCAACCCTAAAAGTCACAATCATCTTTGTTACCATTGCCGTTAGTGTGAAAATGTGCCATTAATAACTTGAAACATATAAAAGCCTCACCAGTAAGATTAAAAGGACTGCTTCAACTACTGCTTCCTGGGAAGGCAATTTCCTAAGCAGGGGTGGAGCACTCAGCCACCTGTGATACTGGCCTGATAAAGCTCTACTCTCCCTGCTAGGCCCTTTGTCCTCAGCTAGTCTCTGAATCCCACTGCACACAGTGTGACTACTGGGGAACCCAGCAAGGGGTAACTACAGGAATGACATAGCTGTCTCATGAACTAAGGCGCTTAAGAAGTCACTGACAGCCCCTGCCTCCCTCATCCTGATACCAGATCTCAGCTTCGAGACTTCTTCTGATAGCCACTCCCCCAAAAGCCAGAGGACACAAGTACATACACATATAGGCACACCTGTAATAAAGTCTTTGGGATGTTTTCAAAATGAAAAAAACAAAACAAAACCCCTACATTATAAAAATCAAAGCAGCCAGAAAACAGAGGAAATAATGAAATAATGTGTTCGATGAAGATGCAAAGGAGATTTTCCAGTTAGCAATAACGACTTGGCAGCTAGGATGCTACGAATGACCTCTCACTCACCAGATGCCTGATACCTTGGTTAAGCAACTTTCCAAATCATTAGTTTATCCAATATGTTCAATCAGAAACAGGGCAATTTCAGTACATGATTTAAAACATCTAATTTCCTCTGATGATACTAGCATATATTAGAACATTTAGGAAGAATCTGATTGAGACTTAAGGCAAGGGTCACAAACTGTAGGATATAACATTCACCTGGGAGCTTGTTAAAAAATATTGATTCCTGGGTGACACCCCCAGAAATTTTGAGCTACGTCTGAATCTTAGGATTGCATTTTGTAAACAGCATTCCAAGTGATTCTGACATACAGGTGGTCTTCAGATTCCCAGATGAAAAGTAGTGGCCTCAGAGATACTGCACATAAGTAAGCCAAAAGGCAGTGCATTGTATGAAGGTAACCATGTGCTTCATTCCTGTTCTACTTAACCTGTGATAAGTAGCTCTTTACACTTATCACAGCTTGTAAAATTAACTATCCGTAGCTTCGCTGAAGGGGATAAAAGTGCCTCTACCATGCTTCCCTAGAACAACAAGCAGGACACAGGGCACTTACACCGGGAGGGTCAGAGCCCAGCGTGTACTTTCCTGACCACAGGAAGGTCCTCCCAAGGCAGAAATCAACTATACATATGTTTTCAAAAGGAAACTTGGCTTAGAAACAACTGCCTCCGAGGAACATTAATTACTATTAGGATCCTAAATACAGTAACTGTCTGCATTGTTATGGCACAGGTCCTCTTAAACTAAAAAGATTAATTACTCACATCTTGATCTGACAGTTTTTCCACTAACATTTCTTCTAGTTCCTCCTTAATCAGCCATCTGCTGCCAATCAGGTCTCTGTTAAAATATCACACAGATTCTCTTTTAAATTAACCGTGCAATTAGAGATATACCACAAAGAATCCCACATGTAGTAGCAATTCTTGATTGGGAAACAAATTTTTGTACTAGAGAGCTGTAAACTCTATCCAAGTAAACTATTTTTCAGATACAGTATTTCATTTCCTCAATCTACTCTAGAAAAGATACCCAACCTAGCAAGTGCTTTGTTTCAAGAGTTGGCATGCCAATGTGGAATTCATTTGATAGTAAAAGTCACTAGATTAATTAAAAATTAAAATTTCACTTGTCTTCCATAATTTATTTCAAAGGAGATGTTATGGATGCAAAGTTAAACTGTCAATGGGCTGAAATAGAAATAAAGTCCAAATAAAGGACTAGGGGTAATATTTATAACTTAAACAAGATATGCTCAAAGCTGTGCCTTTTGCATGAAGAACTATGTGAATGACCAGGCTGAAATTTAAAACTGGTTGCTCAGGGTGATGGATCTAATTTATCACAGTTTGCTAAATGAATGGACTAACTTTGAAATACTAAAAAAATTAAACCATGTAAAAGTAAATGTGTAGCTATGTATACAAATATTCTGAGGATATCATATTCAACTATAGATATTAAATACCACTTAGCATATAAATATGGAATGAAGTAACAAAAATAATAACTTTAATATCTACTTCCTCTCAAACAAAAACATCACCTATTATTTTGACCTCTAACGATAAATGCTGAAATACTGAACCAATTTTTAGGCTTAAAGTATGCTTTAAAAACACCAATGATAAGTGGTGTGTTTTTAGTTCAAAGTTTTTATATTAAATGTAAGAAAAGAACTTACTTGGTTTTAGCTTTTTCTGAAAAGAGACCTTCGGCTTGCAACTGGTTTTTCTGTTTTTGCACATCGAGCAGCTTTCCATACGCGTCCTGCGGCAAACAGAACACATGCGGAAATGAGAGATGGCCACTGCTACTCCTACTTTATATTTTGCTTGAGCACCTTTACTTCAAAAGTGACCGCTCAAATCATCTAGCTGAATAGCAAGTAATGCTGGAAATGCTTTGTAGTAACACTATTTCTCATTCAAACTCAAGAATGGGAGGGTAATTTCAATGAGAATTTAGTATAATGCATACATTAACCGATTTTTATGTGACCCTGTAAGAAACAACTCCAGTGAGGTTGGTAAAAACCAAAAGAAAGCTACAAAACTATTTTCCTCAGAGGTCCTCCACAAACAGGAACTAAAATTTTCCTTAGAAAAAAAGTCTTAATTTATATAGCAATATGCACTTTAAACTTAGAGAATTAACCAGTAAAAATTATGCTTTTACAGCTGAACTACTTATCTAATGTATTTAATATTACATATTTAAGTCCTCACTATGTAGTTTGTATCTTAAAAACAGTTTTCTATTATATTTATTTCCATTACCTGTTCTTTTGTTGATTTATTTTCTAATGAAGTCTGTAAATGTCTGGCAATTGTTAAACTATATTGCAAGCAAGGGAAAAATTGCCATTTTGTTAAAACCTGACAATAAAGGTTATCAACCAAATACATTTTTCAGAAAATGAGTTTACAACAAACAGAAAAATGCAACTGCCTCTCTGTTTTTCCTTTGTTTAAGCAAAGTTAGGTATTTGAAGTCCCAAATCCAGTATGTAAGTATTCATGTATAATTTACACATAGCCTACCATACTAATACCTAATGAACAAACAGACATGTTCAAAGGATGAGTCAGACAGGATATAAATGATATTTTTTTCTTGCTCATCATGATACCCTCCAACATCATTAGCTAATGCTGGAAGACACAACTTGTTACTGATAGAGATGTTCACCCATATCTCGGACAGTCTTAACTAATCATTTCAAATTTGAGGGGTGATTTCTTATGGGCTCTGATTAGACTGCCGTATTATATCACAATGCTGCTAATGGAGAGTTTGTTCTAAAAGAAGTGTCCCTTTGCCACTGTGTATTTTATTATCATCTTCATTCTGAACCCTCTTTTTAGGAATTGATTTCTCTTATGGGAAATACAAATGTTTAAAAAAAGAAAAGAAAAAGAAGGTAAACACAGCCTTTGTGTTTCACAACCACAGGTGAGAAGCGCAAAGGCTAACTTGTGGGCCAAGACTTCGCAGTGACCAGGATGTAAAAATGCATTTCTTGTGTCCATGGAGACTTGGAAGAGCACGTTTTGTTTTTTAGTAGGGCTAGTAGCCTGCATAGCTGAGCAGAGACAAAGAAAAGAAGCAGAAAGAAGAACAGCAGCAGTCAGAGCTACCACACTGGGGCTGAGTTACCAATTCCAACGGTGGACACGAGTATTTCAAACAGTGCAACAGTGACTAGTTCAGGAATGTGAAGGTAAGCTCCCAGGGTAGCGGCAGCAGCAACATCCAAGCCTAAGACTGGTTGGGAACGTAACTTCGCAGGCCCCACACCAGACTCTCTGTACAGGACCCTCAGGTGGGGCCAGTGATATGTTTTAATGATGCCTTCCGGAGATGTGCACTCGTCTGGATCTACACACAGTTCAATGCAACAGCAAGAAGACCACGTAAGTTACTCTGCTTCTAGTGTCCTTACTGAGGATAGCTATCTCTATAACTAAATCCAAAGCACAAATCCATCAGCTGTAGCAGCAGCAGAACATATCTGACAATTAAAACAACAGTCTACCCTAAAGAAAGCAAAAACTACAATGAACCATCCACAGATAAAACATGTACCTGCTACTCAACTTAAAATAAAATTCTACAGCTGTCTCCTAAGAACTGGTAAGCCTCATCTGACTGTGGCTAGGGTACTTCTGACTCATTTCTAAAGGCTCAGATAGTGGGTTGTGACCCCAACCGAATAGGGTATCAGAAAAATTTCTATGCACCTGTTTTGAGAAAGCATTTCCCAAGTGCTCTGCACAGGTAAAATAAAGGGAAAAGACCCACAAAATGAATCCACCCTGACTTGTCTGAAGTGGACAGACACAGTGCAAGCAGTCACTGGTCACCGGACCAAGCCAGACTCCTAGGATGGCACCGGTGAGAACATGAGTGGTAAGTTAGAGGTGTGGTGTCTTCAGACCTAGTTAAGAACATGTAAATCCAAGAGAGCACCAACAACAGTAATAAGATACCACCCCCTCATTGTAAGGGTCTATTAAAATTTCTGGAATAACCAAGGCAATTAAAATAAAAATAACTGACCTGCTTCACATGTAAATTTTAAGTCAAAGTTTGGGCTGCTAAATTCATCATTTTCCAATGACTTTGAGCAATTTTTACTTTAAGTCCATATTTTTCTTACAGTTTTCTTTCATTGTGCTATTACCATCCAGTGTTATATTTAGCTCCATAATAATTTATAAATAGTGCAAGTAAAATAATCAGAAAAAATGCAGTGTATGAGACAACACATGAAAAGTTCATCTCAAATTTCAGACATGGTAAATTCCATTTGTTTAAGACAAATGTTAATACTTTGATGGTTGTAATCCATCAAAGTAAATAACACTCATTAAGCCACCCCTTATACTTCTTTAAACAGGAAACATATGCAGACTACTTAGCGCAGGGTTAATGGTGAAGAAGCGACAGCAGGGTGAGGTATGGCACTCAAGAGCCTGAGAACTGAGAAACAACTTTATTGGTAAAGTGCAGTGTTTCTATTTGTCTTTCTTTTCTTCATAATAAAACCATTCAAGATTCTACGTTGGTTAGAAACAACAGTTCTTGGGAAAGTAGACTCCATAGCTTCAACTCCCTGAAGAGAAGTGTACTAATTTACATCAAAAAATCCTTGAGGGTATAAAATATGCCAGGAACTGTCAACATCACAGATTATCACTGGTAGCTTCTGGTATATTGTTAAATTCCCACTTAATTTCTTAAGGGACACTAGAGAATTAGTATGACCCACCTACCCTAAGTTTGTATACTGTATTTAATAGTATAATTTTCAAATATGACAGGAATAACCCAGATGTGAAATGCTGAATCATTAATCACAGCTATGATTAATATTTCATAAAATCAAAGCGAGCCTATTCACCCCTCGTGTCATCAGATTTCCATAATGTATGAGTCAAATTTAGAAGGTGCCTAATTTGAAAATACCAGATGCTCAGGTAGGAGAAAAGCAGTGCTTAAACTACACCTCCAAAGTGTGAGCAGTGCAATTTTTTGGTCTAAAAAAATCTAATTTTAGTCTTCTAAAATCTGTTCTGGTTGTATTAATCATGTAGAAATTCCGAATTTAGGAAGCGTAAACAAATAACATTTCTCGAGTGAGTGGTATAGGAAAAGTCAAATGTATTTTGATATACAAATACTAGACAAAATCAGAAAAGTAACACACTTAAAATTATGTAGTTAGGTTTCTTCTTTTTTTTAAATCACAGCAAATCAATTTCCTAAATAACGTTCTTCTCAGTTTTATAGCTACTGGTATATACTGGTATAATCAAATCAGATAAATATAAACATAATCCATTTATCATGGTTTCTGCTATTTATCTGAAGTTCCAAGCGACACACTTCTATGGTAGAACCTTGCTATCCATCTGTAAAAACAGTGTGCTGTAGTTTACACATCACATAATGCTGTCTACATACACAGAGAAACAGTCTCACATAAAGGTCACAGGGAAGTACTCTGGGAAAGCACAGACACAGGAGTAATCACATAAAGAAGTTTGTAACTCAGATACCATATATTTTTACAACTCAAAGTAACATTACACCACATAACAATCACACCAATATAAAAGCAACCTGATTAAAACCACAGAGGTAATAAGTTGAATCAGTTTTTTAAATTATTTTTTTAATTGTTACATTTAGTACATGCAAGATACACACTGGTAATTATTCCTATGGGACAAAGGCGTATGTTCAGATGCGTGTGGAGCAGCAGTTCCCACTGCCGAATTATTCCTGGGTGAACTCCCGCGTCAGGAGTCTGAGAGCGGCACGGACGTGCCAGCGTTGGTCCGCTGCTTCCCACCACTAGCCTTTCCAGTGCAGCTCACATCACCTCACCGGGAGAAGCCTCACTACCTTAATTCCACTTTTACAGATAAAAGCACTACATCAAGGGTTTTAAACCTTCTCCACGAGTCCGAGCTGTGAAGGAAGCGAGGTCTCGGTGACTCCGAGACCCAGGAGTGGGCTTTGTCGCCTGCATCTTCACCTGCCGAGCCCAGCTTCTCCTGGGGCTGCTCCTCCGTGTTTCTTGCAAGAGCACAAAAGGCTACTTAAGTCATTTTAAAAAAACTGGAAAATTTCTAAATAAGCCAGGAGCTTCTTTCAAAAGGCAAGTGAATCCTGTTTATGCATAAGTTACCAGAGTTAGACTTACTTGTTTTTTTTTTAAATTCAGCAGAGTAGTATAAATATATAATGATCTACTTATTCCCTAATTTCATACATCTTTTTTTGGGAGGGGGATAAATATTTCATCCATGATCATGTAATTCCTTCAATTTATAAAAATACTCTAAAAATACTCCATTGTTTATTGTAAAACTCATCCTAAAATAAGTTTATAAGACACTAAATTCTTCCCACTGCAGTTTTCAGAGTTGACTAAACTTAAAACTGGGGAGGGGCTTATGTAAAATGTCAGTACATGCTTCAGTATTCGAGGACTTACGGCGATTTCAGTGGGCGACACAGCCCTTCCCAATCACTCATGGCTGGTTTGGCTCAGCAGTTAGAGTGTTGGCCTGTGGACCAGAGACTCCCGGATTCGGTTCCCGCTAAGGGCACGTACCTCATTTCACTTTGTCCCCGGCCCGGGTTGGGGTTGTGTGGGTGACGGCCGGTCGATGTGTCTCTCTGCCATCGATGTTTCTCTCTCTCTCTCTTCCTCCCTCTCTACCTGAGGACAGATGCGAGAATGTCCTTGGATGAGGATAAAATAAAATAAAATAAAATAAAATAAAATAAAATAAAATAAAATAAAATAAAATGTGTCTGTCTGGGCAGAGGGTTCCATGATCCAGTCGTCTGAGTGGCAGTAGGTTACTCAACAGGCTTCTTTTTTTAAATTAATTATTTATTTATTTTATTACAGATGTTCCCCCCACTCCCCCCACTGATCCCCCCTCCTCCTCCCTCCCCGCCTTGTCCCCAGCTTTGCTGTCCATGTCCACTGTTCATGCATATAAGTCCTGTGGTTTATCTCTCCTCCACTACCCCCTCTTCTCGGGATTGTCAGTCGGTACCCTACTTCCATGTCTCTGGGACTACCCCATTCCTCAGACTTTATGTTCATTATATTCCACAAATAAGTGAGATCATATGATACCTGTCTTTCTCTATTTGGCTTGTTTTGACTTTCCAGGTCCCTCCATGTCGTCTCAAAGTATAAGAGATCTTTCTTTCTTACAGCTGCATAGTACTCCATTGTGTATATGTACCACTGCTTTTTTATCCACTCATCTACTCATGGACACTTGGGCTGTTTCCAGATCTTAGCTATTGTAAATAGTGCTGCTGTGAACATGGGGGTACATATATTCTTTCTGATTGGTGTTGCAGGCTTCTTAGGGTATATTCCTAGAAGTGGGACCACTGTGTCAAATGGAGGTTTAATTATTAATTTTTTGAGATAACACCATAGTGTTTTCCATAGCGGCTGCACCAGTCTGCATTCCCACCAGCAGTGTACTAGAGTCCCCTTTTCTCCACACCCTCACCAACACTTGTTGTTTGATGATTTGTTGATGGCGGCCATTCTGACAGGTGTGAGGTGACACCTCATTCTCAACAGGTTTCTTTACTGACCGGCTTCACAGAGCTTTTCACTCTGCTAAGTATCTTCTTCTTCCAGTCTCCCAGTCTGCAATGTGCAGCATTCCCAAAGGAATTAGCTTTGGAGAGCGTCCTTGAAGAGTACCTGACAGCCTGGGTCCCTCAGAAAGCCTTTGGGAAGGCTGCATTATGGAAACGGCGACCTCATGAATCATGTTTCACAAAACGGTTCCCACTTCAGAGTGAAATAATCACTCCCCGTAATGAGTTTCAAATAATTTTCAACTCATTTTTTGTGAGTGAATTTAAAAATGTTCAGAAATGTATGAATTAACAGAATGAGTCAATCTGAGCTAATATTTTCCTGAAATGTAAAGGACCCGCACGCACTCCACTGTGACCGCCCGGGTGGCCGAGGCCGGCTCATGAGTGTGTCCCCTCTCCCCTCACCAGCGGCTGGGTGGGCGGGACAGGCGCAGTGCTGTGCACAAGCTGCCCCGGCAGGCGGTGGGCCCTTACTGGCCCCTCCCCTGGACCAGGCCGCTCACCACTCGGCCGCCCACTGGCAGAGCGTGTTCTCCACTGCACACGCTCCTCTTTAGAAGTCCTCCCTTCCCTTCACACTTCTGCTCAGCTCTCTCAGGAAACTTCTCTTATTCTTTCTCTATTTCTTCCTTCTGCTCCTGAAACCCTAAATTGTGTCGGAAAAGTATACAAGCTCTACTGGGCAAGGGGCTGTTAAAGAACTGGAAAGCCATCCACTGGGGTGAAAGAGACGACGAGCCGGCCCCTCAGCACGGAGCTCCCTTCAGCCCTCTGTCGCCCTAGGAGAAGCTCCCGGAGTCTCCTGCTTCTCACTGAAACCACCTTTGATTGCTTAAGAAATTAGCTGTTAGCACTGTTTTATACTTTTTTCATTACATATGTACATTATATTCACTGTAAGTGGCTTCTTATCAACTTTCCCTGGAACTTGAAGCAGATCATGCAGAATGTAACACATTTACATCCGAGACCCCATGCCTCAGCAGTTTTTTCCTTCACTGTATTCTGTCCTATTGTACTGCATTTCTGGACAGGAACAACAAATTGCTTCTTCCTTCTCATCTTTATCCTTCTTCAAAAATCTCCCTCCATTTCCACAAAAATCAGATGGGCCAATTGGACAGTGTTCACTAAAGCATTACATATTATCCTTAACTTAAGTTGTATGAGAACTACCATTAGTTGCTATAATGTAACATAAACTTAATATGCAAATAGTGCCCAAGTACTAAAAAGAAGATTTGGTATTGAGGACAAAAAAGAAAGGTCTCCTGGGAGAACTGTGCTTCTTGTCAGAAAGCTTGGCCCATGACTGCCATGCCTCAGTTACAGCTGGTCAGTGACATGGGGAAACGGATTTGGCTCAGGGTCTTTTACCCTGTCACATGAGAAGAAACTGTATCAACAAAAAGAAATGGTAAAAACAATCATTCATCCCCAAGTATTTAGCGCCCGCCCTAGTCTTTGGGGCCAATCGGCTTGCTGCCATGGGGGGGCAGGAGTGGACTCAAGGTCACACAGAGAATGGAACAGCAGCCCCCATCACCAAGAGAAGGCAGAACAAAGGAGAGAGCAAACACATGAAGCAGCTTCAGTTTGTATTGTCTTACTTTACGTGCAATGCTTGACTCCACTACAAAACCGCTTCTGAAAGCCCGCCAGTGAGGACTGAGTCACATGCTACTTAGAGTAACAAAAGGAATCTGGGATGATGTTGGTCTGTGTGACCTCGGAAACGAGACAGGTGAGATCATAGTTGTAATTAATAACAAGTGCCATACATGATGCTTACGTGAACAGCAAGCATTTAGAAAAACATTTATCTTTTTCCCCCACACATATACTTTAAAATTCTATAAAACACACTTTTGAAAATACAAGATTTTATTAATTATCTGAATTTAAATGCTCAAGTTAACCCCAAATATCTGTAATTCCTATGTGTAAACTGATCTGATAAGCAATAAAACAAATGCTAAACCCACAGTTAGGGGGTTAAAAACAGTCAACAAAACAGACCTAAATTACAGAATTTAACTGAAACCTAAAAGCCCGAAGAACTCTCCTATATATAACAGAAACTATATTATTCAAAAAGAAAGGATACTTATTAATCAGATATAATTTGACTTTTCAGTCAAAAGCATGCTAATCTTTTATCCACTGAGAAACCGACCAGTTTCTTGAGCAAATACCTTATAAAAGACATAAACAAACTAAAAATAAAGTTAGGTCTCTCCTACAATGTGTAATTTCTTCATTATGATGGAATGCAACAAAATATCTTGCCCTTGGGTTGCTCAGTTTCAGCCAAAACAAATGCAAATGGCTTGTGGGATGACAGCTGTGTGATAAGGCGCCTCCACAAGACCTGCGTGCGTTCCTTCTTCCCGTGAAACTTGGGATGAAAGGCAGAAGGCAGGAAGGGAATTAATGTAGCGTACAGTCTAAAGGCAATGCTGCAGCCGTGATTAAGTAGAAAAGTTAAAAGGCACAGATTTTCCACAGCTTCGCTGCGTGCAACCCATCCGTGTAACAAGTTGACAGGCCTAGCGCGTCAGCTCCATCATCCCCTCCGACAGCTAAAACGCAGCACTGCATCCCTTTTCAGAGGAAATTTGCGTCTGCACCATGAAGCGTTGTACATTATTTCTTAGCACTGCAGGGGGCTTAAGTCCATATGGAACCTTCACAAATATTACCACAGATCAAACCAGCGCGTTTGCAGGCAGATTTGACATACCTATTTAAATGAACAGCAGGGGTCCTGGGCAGCCGCGGGCTGTGCGGAGGCGGCTGTGCGGAGACAGCCTCGCGGAGCGCCTGCACGCAGCTCCATTACTCAGCAAAGACACACTCGGCATCTATCATTCATTTCCTTTCTGCCAGGGCAAGAAGCTCATTTGCCCAAGGTCAACAAAAAACGAAAAGAAGGTTTTCTTTTTCATTCCCCAAGAAATAAATGTACCTGACAAGTGGGGATTTTGTCCTTTTGGGTTTCTGGGGCACCAACAAACATCAGACAGTTCTAAAAAGCAGAGGCTGTGTGTGTATGGGATTCAGGCAACCTGAGATGGGAGTGTGGATGGCGAAACCCAGTGAGTACTTACAAAAATCTCACAATGAATAAAATAAAACTTGCCATGTTCTAAGATGAAACGGGTTCTGTTGCTTACACCTGGACATTAGCATCCAGGTTTTTCCCCTAGTTATTCTAGGGGACTCGTGTGTTTGCACACTCTCACACACATGTAGGCTCTGACACAGAAACCTCCAGTACACTCCAAAGCAAGTGGAAGTCAACGTAACAAACTCGTTTCTTAGATCTTCTTTCTATGAAAAGCAACAACTGTACTTGAATAACAAAAAGTACAGTTAACTATCTGACTGTCTCCTAAGGTGCTTCACAGCCCCGACTATCCCTGACTCGGCCCCTGCCCGGCGTCACGTTTACCTGGCGCACACACACACTCACGTGACTGAATTGAACATCTATCTCCTAACATGGCATCAATTTGCAAGTGAAAGCATTTTAAGGACAATCATTATGTTATACATTCTATAATGTGTACCTTTAGAAAAATGAATTAATAAAATACAAAGCCTTTTAACACACTGTCTTACCTCTAGAGGTCTTATTTTTTGTCCATTATGAAACATACTAGGTAAATCGTGAAGCTAAACAATCTGGTATAATCAGCTACTTAAACTTTACAGTTCATATTATTTATCATAAATGTTAAGTACTTACATGCATTAATGAATAATACGACTGTTTGCCAGTGTAAAAGAGAAAGTGAAATGGACGGCCATCTTCTCCCCACTGGGTTGCTAATGAAAAGCCAGATGAAAACAAACAAAAATGAAAATATATACAGAGAACATATAGATGTATTTAATTGTAGTTATGAGACATGTTAATAATCCTGAAATAACTTTCAAAATAACAAAAAAGCATTAATATTTAGAATTTTAATAGTTTAACATGTAAAATTTTAAGCTATTTTACACACATTGACATAAAACAATGTTTGTATTTGAGAAACTGTTTGTAAATATCTCACCATGAGAATTTCTAGAACTTGTTTTAAACACACATAAAATAGCCAAAATCATCCTGTTAGGTTAAAAAAAAAATTAGGTGTGACTGTAAATACAATGCACTCCCATATTTTTAAAAAATGAAACTGATAAAGTCAATAATGTAATTCACGCAGAAAATTAGCAACAGGCATAAAATAACAAAGAAAAAGTTAAATGGATTTTCCATGCCACATTATTCCTTACAACTCTACAATGACATACCTCAGAGAGTTTAAAACAGAGGGGCCCCCCAAAGGTGCTACGTGTAATTCCTTTTGAAATATAGATGACCATCAAACTGAGAAAGGAGTCTGTGTAGTAAATAACCAAACACTAACTCTATGCACTTTGTCCATATTTTATTGTTGTTTCTGTTAACAATTTATAGGGACTCGAATATTTTAAAGACTACACTACACTCCTCTGTCCATTACATAAATTGTAAACTCTTTTCTCCCAATCTGTTGTCTTTTAATTTTGTTTGTCTTTCATAATCAAGAAGTTTAACATATATGTTTTTGCAGAATCTGTCACTTTTCCTCTCTTACAGTGTTTCTCAAATGTTTTTTCATTATCAGCCCCTATTGAGGAGACATTTTTTTACCAGATACACTGCATATCAGTTGATGTATACTGTGGTGGCCCTTAGAAAGGCCAAAACACAGTAATAGCTGAGATTTTTTTTTACTTCCTCTGAACCAGTGTATGTCCCTTGGGGCACAACATCACCCCCATTGAGAAGGCATGTTTTAAAACCGTGTGCTCATTAAAAATTATTGTCCTCTAAAATTTTTGTTTTCATGTTCAGAAATCTAATCTACCTGGGATTTAAGTTTGTGAGGCAGAAATTCAAGTGCTTTGTCTAGCAAAGTGAGTTGTTACCCATTAGTTTTTTTAAATACTACAGTCTTTCTTTTGAGGATAACTGGCACTATATCTGGGCCACTTTAAGTAAATACGCTTAAAAAGAAGACCAAAATTTCAGAGTAACTGGTGAAAAAAAAAATCCTGAAAGGAAGTTTAGCTTGAAAAGAATAAAACAAGATTCTTGTCTGCCAATGGCTTGAGGATGTATTAAATACTTCTTCAACATCATTTTCAGACTTCATAAAATCTTGCATATTTTTCAATTTTTATAGCTTTACTATTCAATCACTTTTCACTGTATTGTTAAAAGTCAGAAAATGACCAAGAAAGAGTAACATAATGGTTACAGATGAGACTTTACTGTCAAGTTTGGAGGGATTTTTGAGTCGGGTCTCATTTCATGTGAATGAGAGTGTGTATACTTGATTTCATAAAGTATGCATATAGATATCTACACACACATCTATATACATACACTTGATTCCATGTATCTTTTACAAAGAAAAAAAGCTCATATATATATATTTCATAGTTTACATTAATTGTATGATGAATCCTGTTGCCAAAGATGTTAAAATTTTAAAAACCATGTCTTAGAACTCACAAAACATGGCATAAACAACTACTGACACTGACTACTATAATTTGGTCTATTCTGCACCACTACCACTATTCAATTAAATTCTGCTTTTGTTGCATTTTGATACCTGGTAGGCTAAGTTTCCTTCATTATTCTTATTTCTTCTAAAAAACTTTTTGCTACTTCTTGCAGATTCACTCTTTCAAATAAAGTTTACAAGTTTCTCCCAAAAGTCCTATCAGGACTTTGACTGAAATTATATTAATGTAGCTCTTAATCTTTCCTTACAAACATGAAATCATTTTCCAGCTGTTTAGATTTTCACTTATGGTCGATCCTTTAAGTTTTATAATTTTCTATATAAAGCTCTTACATATTTTTATAAGTTTTACTTGTATTTTAGTTTTTGTTGCTCTTGATACTGCCTCCTTGGTTATCTATGTTTTCTATAACATTAACATTAATTACGTAAGTTATACACTCTTTTATTATTGTCCAAATAGACCTTACTTTTTAGAGTTTTAGGTTCACAGCAAAAGTGAGAGGAAGACGCACAGATTTCCCATGTACCCTCAGCCCCGCCCCCCCATATACACAGGCTCTTCCATTATCAACACCCTCCACCAGAGTGGCACACTTATTACAACTGGTGAACCTACAATGACAATCATCACCAGTCAAAGTCCATGGTCGATTCAGGGTTTACTCTTGGTGGTGTACATTTGTGGGGTTTGGACAAATTTATGACAGCTGTACCCACCATTACAGTATCATACAGAGTAGTTTCACTGCCCTAAACATCCACTGTGCTCTACCTCTTCATCCCCCCTCCCCCCCCCCACACACATAACTCCTGGTGACCAGTGACCTTTTCACTGTCTGCATAGTTTTGTCTTTTCCAGAAAGTCATTTAGTTGGAATCATACACTTAACCTTTTCAGATTGGAGTTCTTCACTTAGTAATACGCATGTAAGTTTCCTCTATGTCTTTTCCTCCATGGCTTGATAGTTCATTAGTGCTGAGCAATTCCACCATCTAATTGTTTAATTATCCATTCAGCTAAAGCACATCTTCCAAGTTTTGACAATCATGAATAAAGCTGCTCTAAACATCTGTGTGTGTGCACGTCTCTGTGCAGACATACGTTTTCACCTCCTCTAGGTAAATACCCGGGAGTACCACTGCTAGATTGTATGGCAAGAATATGTTTACTTTTGTAAAACTGCCAAAATATCTTCCATAGTGGCAGCGCTATTTTGCATCCCAACAGCAGTGTATTCCCACCATTACAACACGTGCCAGAACTGGTGTTGGCAGTGTCTGGATTCTGGCCATCCCAACAAGTGTGCAGTGGTATCACCCTGTTGCTTTAATCTGGATTTACTCCTGATTTGGAGTATCTTTTTTTTTAATCCTCACCCGAGGACATTTTTTCCATTTTTTGTTCAGGTAGAGTGGGAGGGAAAGAGAGGAACAGAGAGAGAGAGAGAGAGAAACATCGATGTGAAAGGAACACATCGAGTGGCTGCCACCCGCACAACCGACCAGGGCCGGGGACAAACTGCAACCGAGGTACGCGCCCTTAGCGGGAACCGAACCCGGGTCTCTCAGGACCGGAGACCGACGCTCCAACCGCTGAGCCAAACCAGCCAGGGCTGGAGTATCTTTTCATAAGTACATATAGCTTCTGTAGTGAGGGCTCTGCTAAGGTCTCTGGCCCATTTTAAAATCGGGTTGTTTATTTTCTACTGTTGAGTTTTAAGAGTCCCTCCTTTGTGTATTTTGGATAATAGTCCTTTATAAGATAGTTCATTTCCAAATATTTTCTACCACTCTATGACTTGTTTTTTCATTCTCTTGACAGTGTCTTTTGCAGAACAAAAAATTTTAATTTTAATGAAGCCAGCTTATCAATTCTATCTTTTATGGATCATGCCTTTGGTGTGGTATCTAAAGCCATGGCCAAACTCAAGGTCTTCTAGATTATTAATTATGAATTCTATTTCTGTAACAGATACAGGCCTATTCAAACTGTCTACTTATTTTTGTGTAAGATTTGGTAGCTTGTGCAGTGTTTGTCATGAAACTGATCCATTTCACCTAGGTTACCAACTCGATCGTCCCTTGACTGCTGTGGCATCTGTGGCAGTGTCCCTCTTCACATCTGACATTAGTCATGTCTCCTCTCTCCTTCTGTATATTTTAGTTAGCCTAGCTAGAGGTTATACATTTGACTGATCTTTTCAAATAACCAGCTTTTGGTTTTGTTGATTTTCTCCACTGATTTTCTGTTTTCAATTTCACTGATTTCTGCTCTAATTTTTATTTCTTTTCTTCTGCTTACTTTGAATTTAATTTGCTCCTCATTTTCTAGGTTGCTAAGATATAAGCTTCAATGACTGATTTCAGATCTCTCTTCTCTCCTGATATATGCACTCAATGCTATATAAATCTCCCTCCAAGCACTGCTTTGGTGCACTCCTCTTACATAGGTTAAATATTAGAATTCCCTCGTCAGAGACAGTTAGTTTACTGTTCTAAACTCCTTCGCTGCAGTTAAATATGTATATCTACTGAAATAAAGATTTTTTTTACATGTTTTTAAAAAATACAAAGGTTTTAACCTGTGTTTATACTATATACTTGAGACTGAATGTCTGTGTTCCCCAGAATTAATATACTGGGGCCTAATCCCAATGTATTAGTATTTGGATGTGGGGTCTTTGAGAGGTAATTATGGCTCTGTCCTCATAAACAGAATCCCAGAGAAACCCCTGGTCCCTTCCACCATGTGAGGACACAGGGGAAGACAGCTGTCTACGAACCAGGAAGCAGGCACTCACTAGACAATGAATCCCCAGGTAAGTAGAAGGAGGAAACAATAAAGAGTGGGGGGGAGGGGGAATAAATGAAGTAGAGACAAAAGAAATATTTAAAAAGATAAATAAAACTAAAAGCCAATTCCCTGCAAGAATAAACAAAATTGACAAACCTCTAGTGATACTCATCAAGAAAAAAGAGAGGTCAAATAAACAAAATCAGAAATTAAAGAGATTACAGTTGATTCCATAGAAATACAAAAATATTTATTATATATTGGCATATAATAAATACTAGAAACAATTATATGCCAACAAATGGGACAATCTAGAAGAAATGGATAAATTTCTAGAAACATACAATCTTTCAACACTAAGACAAGAAGAAAAAGGTAATCTGAACAGACCTATTACTACCAATGAAACTGAAGCAGTAATAAAAAACAAAAACCACCCAACAAATAAAAGTCCAAGACCAGAC